GAAGAGGATAGACCTGAATCTGAGGTGGTGACAGATTCTGCAGGTTGCTGACAAATGAGCTTGATGCGGATGCCCAGGTCAAGATCCCAGAAGGCGTCATTAAAAGGAAGTAAGGATCAAGAGTGGATAGTGTGGGTTCCTACTGACCTCAGATTGGGGGATGTGGCAGCCAACGTGGACTTGAAATTTGGCAAGGAGTTTCATATATATATATATGAATACACACACACATATATAGAGAATTCATACACATATGAATCTCTATATATGTGTGTGTGTATTTACCATTATACATATATGAACCAGATGGTAAATATTATTCACTTTGTGGGATACAGTCTTCATTGCCTATTTTTCTTTCTATTCCTTTCTTTATTTTCACCTTTAGAAAATGCCTACAACTAGTCTTAGGTCAAGGACTATGCAAAACCTGTTAACAATCCAGCATTGTCTCAGGGGCCATAGACTGCCAGCCCTTGTTCCATCATTGGTCAAACAAGAGGATGGCATAAGCGAGAATAAATATCTAACTTGATAGATCAGAGACCATAGTGGCACCCAGCATGAGTCTGATGCCACTTTTGACTAGCAGGGACCCTGAAAACTATAGATCAATCTGATCAAACATTTAATCTATTCTCCAGACAAAGTGAGAAGGCCTAAGATTATGAGGGGGAGAAATATAATAGAAATAAGTGCATGGCTTTATACTTGAAACCACCAACTCGCAGTTGCGTAACACAGTTTGATAACCCTCGTGGTGAAGACTGGTAGCACAGCAATAGTCAGGTGAGCATAAGCCAGGTATATGCATGAGTGATTCTAAATCCTGTCATCCAACATACCGGCATGAAGCAGCAAACCAACAGAGAGGTCTGCGGGGCCGGCCCCAATCCCAGCTGTGTGGACCTGTTCCCCAAAAGAATGTACTACAGAGGACAGCACTGAAGACACGGCTCAGGGGAGGGGTGGGTCTGCTCAGAACACATGGGAGCAAACTACGAGGGTAGGAGAAAAAGAAAGAGAGAGAGTGGACCACATCTGGCCCATCAAGGCCCAAGGATGATAGTCCTGCTTGGAGCAGCCAGTGCAAAGAGAGGACAGTAGGGCTGGCCCCACCACAAGACATGGCGTCCCTCACTGACCCACAGCACAATGGGGGACAACACTGGAGACACACTGCGGGAGTTGTGCACAGTCTGACGTCCCTGACACCAGGATGAAACACGAAGGGAGTGCAACAGGGCAGCAAGGGGAGCAGAGCAACGCAATCCCTGAGAAATCCCGAAAATAGAATTCTGAGGCTGGGATTCGCACCTCATCAGACTCGATCGGAAAACACCCATAAAGGTCAACAGACAGACCTGGAACAATTTATAGGCTCCCCACCCCACCCCACCCCACCCCTTTTTCTTTCATGTCTATCTATATAAGATAGGCAGGATAAACAATCGTGAGGAGAAAACAATGGGACCAATGGTGTTGGGGTGGGGGGTATGATAGAGGGGGACGTGGAGGAAAGGAAGAGGGGAGCCAATAAACCCAGGGACAAGGGAACAACAACTAATCTAAAATTGATTGGTGAGGAAGGTTTAGAATGCCTGGTGGGGGTTGATCAAGTGCAATGTAGCCAAGAGGAATTACTGAAAGCTGAATGAAGCTCAAACGTGGGACAAGAGGAAATTAAAAGGAAACAGAGGAAGGAACTAGGAGGCAAAGGACATTTACAGAGGTATAAACACAGGCAAGTACATAGGCAAATATATTTATATATAACGATGGGGACATAGATCCCTCCACATATATATTCAGTAATAAGGTAGCAGA